GATTCGAGCAGCGGTTTTGCGAACGCGTTCGAATAACTGCGAAACCAGTTCTACTCCCGTCGGCCTTTGCGCTATCTTACGCCGACCCGGAAGTAACAGCTAAGTAATCAGTGTGCTTTTTATTGTGTGATTTAGACGACGAAGTACCCAGTATGTGTTACATAAATTATGTATGGGTATGGAGAATTCTCGGGAATCTTTCAACGGACTGTGTTCACGGTGTGTTGTGTTGAGTGTACAGTGTTCAAGGTATGATTTTCGGGAATCTTGTACGGAGTGAACAGTGAACTTGTTGTTCAGTTACCTAAGTATATATTTAAATAAAGTAACATGGTCTATCATGTGGGTCGAAACTTATGGAACGCCAACAAAGACGGTTTGTGGCAGAACAAGGGTGTAGAGTAGACGGCCGGAACCCAGCATGTGGTAAACGTAAGACGATCAGTCACCGAGGTCATCTCAACGTATTCTTCAAGGCATGGGAAAATGCAGAAAGATCAAATACGGGACAACACAAAACAAGTTACATCAGGAAAACTTGATTGTTGTGGTGAAGAAACTGATATACAGTCCTGTATAGAAACTTGCTAAAACGAGCAGCCATTTTTTATCTATGACATCCCTTTCCCCCAGTCGGCTCAAGATGAAAAACGTACAGACCGTTTAGTAGCACAGCTAGCGACAAGAAACGTGATTTGACAAGACAAAACATCCAACCGACGTAATTTTCCAACAGAAAGAAAGGTCCTCGTACAAATAGCCCATCATCATCAACAGACCGAACAGAACAGAACAGTAAGTTACAAAAAGGATGAAAACTATGTCGCAGCTGACATAATCAATAAAGGCGACAAATGATTGTTGAAGGTTGCACATATGTGGAGCGTACTGAGGAAAGCAAAGCGTACATAACCAACCCGGGCTTCATTGACGTAATTGAAAAAAAAAACACAGGACGCTAAGACAAATCAATAAAAATGGACTAGACACAAGCTGCTCCAGTAATATCCGTTCGTTCAGTGCCGATTAACATCGTTTTGAATAAACGTAATACTACGAGAAATTGCCGTAATAGAATACAGTACAAGATAATTTTGCAAATCACTTAGGGCATCGGAAACAAAACGACGGAGATGTAATAACAATATTTGTCAACATTCAGCAGAAATGTGTAAACTATCGACGTTTTGAAACTAGGGCACCGTCGCAAACAATAAGACAGAAAATCATCCACATATTATGGAGAAGCAGAGACTAACAATACTAATGAATAGAAATTGTAGGCTTGAAATGAAGGTTTGAAAAGACTGCACACTGACTAGAATCCAGATTCACCGCAGGGCTGGCCGTTTCTAGAAGGCGCATCAACAACTAAAGCCCCCGTACGTTTGCCGCTGTAAGAGGCGGCAAACGTAAAAACTTAGACTTTTGAAAACATTTATGACATAAACATATTTCAACTTGTACTTTTGGTAGCCCAATATATAAACCATAAACTCCCGGATACATGTGATGATCTTTTTAAAATTTTCGTTCTCAGATTCACAACTATCAAACTCGCAAACGTTCCTATTTTCATATCCCCCTAGTAAAAACTTCTTTTGCCCAAATGTCAGTTAGATACAAAGGTGTCACCTTATGAAATGAACTTACTCCAGCCCTAAAGAGTCCTACCTTGTCTCTTCTCTCACTTAAACAAGCTTTGAAAAACCATCTGATTATTTCCATTTTCTATCGTATCATTTCCATTTATTGATTATATTAAATTTTGTATAGTTTAGAGGAGAAGGGCCTAGTATAAGCATTCCATGCTTCTCCCCTCCTCCTGCACCTGTTTTAACCTTGTTTTGTATTATTATTGTCGGTTTTGTTTATGTGCAAACTAATAAGATTTTTAAAAAATCAAATAGGCTAAATACAATGAATCTTTCCAGAGTTGAGTGAATCGGGATGAGGAATTATTTCGTAATCTTTGGATTTATCCCAAGCTCCAGTACACAGCTGCAGGGCTTACCGGCCGTCCCAAAATTGTGTCAATTTATGACTCACTTCAAAGTATGCACTGCTTAGATTGAAAATAGACGGACTAACAGAAAACTGTGTCAACCCAAGTATGCACTGCTTAGATTGACACACTTCCGATGACACACTTCAACTGTACATCATATATTCACGCACGTAATAGTAAAGGTGAAGATAATACCATGTCATTGGTAATACAGAAAGTGTTTCCGTCCGAAAACCGTGTCAAACTTATACACATTTCAAATTATGCACTCTTTAGATTAGATATTCACACACTTATGACAAACAACGTTTTCGCCGGAAAACTGACTGATCGATCAAACCTGTGTCAATCCTATGACACAATTTAAATGATGAACTGCTTGGATTATATATTCAACCGTAATGCAGTTATGATGGAAAACCTTTCTATCTAAAAACTGATCAAATCGGCATCATATGACACCCTTAAAAGACCTTCAAACTGCCTCGCAATGTTTTATAAGCTATTTATAAATCATTAGTTCGTCCCTTTTTGGGGTATGCAGATGTGATTTGGCATTGTTGTACTACTGTCGATTCCTCTCTTTTCGAATGAATTCGTTCTGCCCTTTCCTGAGCACACACGTCTGGAGCATGTTTTGGAATATGCCATAACGTAACTTCGCTATGAATAATTAATCAGCACTCCCGTCATCATTCTTGATTGACAGTTTGATCGTTTCGGTTTTGGAACATTTCAAGTCGTGGTCCATTTGCGCCATGATTTGGAATACACCGTGTTGAATGCTTGTTGCACTTCAAAACGTGGTCCATTCCAAAACATGAATTGGAATAACCTGTTTTGGAATGCAACACGTCTGCATCAACTGTAACGAAAATCTACATGACATCTCTTGAAAGAGAAGCGCGTCGCCGAGGCCATTATTATTGTTACTGTCATTTTTTTTCCTTTTTGGCATAAGTAGTTTACAAAGACTGTCTGATATATGAGATATACAGTGCAATACTGATTTAATAAAAAAAATGAAATAATGCACGAATTGGAGTATTTATTTAAAATGATAAGTGTTTGGTAAATCTGGCGATCGTTGAATTTATAATTATTACCAGAGGAGCCTGGTTTATTTTATTGACTTTAAAAATTATGGTAGAGCTTAGAAGGTTTTGAATCTATGTAAATGGATGTCACAAGTGCAATTTTTCAGCCAGAAAGGTTGTCTATATAAGCAACGATGTCATATGGGATATGAGCTTAGTAGAACAAGAATTCGGAGACTTCACACCTCTTCACACCACACTTCACACCAAGATATATAAAGTTTCTGTAAATGTTTTTTTGGGATTTGTCTCAGTCAAAAATTAGATCATAACTAGAAAGGTCAACATTTCCTTCGGCGCAAATGTAATATTTCACTCCATCTCCCTTCCCAAACAAAAATAGAAGATTCTAAATAAATCATACTGCAATTATACAAGGACAAGCACTTTGAATCTCGACAGCTTTATTTACAAAAATGGAACTTGGCAATTATCTCCCAATTTTTTTTTTTACAAAGATTAAAGGACAAGCGTATCGTATTACCTGGATGTCTAACCTTCATCGACGTACTAACTTCACGGTCTGAGAAAAATGGACATGTACACAACTATATATTCACAGCGTTGACAGGTGCAGGAAAAAGAAATTCCAGGAATTTTTTATTAACTGTAATGATAAGTTCACGATACAGAGGTGACAGTGAAAACCGTAAACACAAAGGTACGGTGAAAAAAAATCAGGAATTACAGTAATCAATTTACGGAGTATGTTTGCTTAGTTTCCAGATTTTTTGTATGATTGATTGGAAATGAACGAAAACCGATGTATGCTGGAAAAATACAAACGACTAACATTCTAAGTTTTTGACATTCTAGAGTAAGAACAATCAGTTTTTGAATGTTAAAAGCAAAACAACGGATATTAAAAAGAAAATGTTGAAATTAAATGATAAGATTATTAAAATGTTAAAATGGTTAAATTTTTAAAAAGTTATAATAGTTAAAAATGTTAAAATGGTTAAAAAATATTTGTGTCCGGCGGGATACGAAGTCGACTGTCACAACTTATTTCACTCCATACTAGTATGGAGTGAAATAATTACTATAATCTAGTTTAATTGATGGTTTTCTAAACTTAAAGTATAATATTTTGCTTGTGAAATTCTTATCTTTTGGCAATATTTCAAGTCAACATGTCCTCTTGGATTATGCAAATAGCATCTGTATTAACGTAATTAATGCTAACATTTCAGTAACTTACACATGTCACCAGGTATATCATTTCACCATCAAGAAATAACAGAATTTTAAAATTAATTATATTATGCAAATTAGGTCATTATTTGAATAATTGGTATCTGTTGATGTTCCACCTGCCGTTGATTACATACAATACTTGTATAAAAACACTATGACGTAATTACTGTAATAACAGACTTTCTCTTTAATTATGCAAAGTAAGTCTTCCTTTAAATAAGTGGATTATGTACATCTTGCCATTATTTCTTTCTGTACTTATCTGCTTTTAAAGATTTCGCCAGAAACTCTGCAATTTCAGAACAGGCTGCTAGGGGACAAACCCACACCATTTTTTTTCCTGACAGGATAAGCTATCTGTCACCAAAAATCCAAGACAATAGCATGTTCAGGACAAAAGATACAAAAACGGGACGTTATGCTGCAGTACCAAGGTCAGCTACCAGGAGGCCCATATTTGACTTTGACCTCGACTTCCTACGACCTACCAACATACCAAATATCATAACAATCCATAAAGGCGTTCTGAAGCAATGCTGACTTCAAATGTGCGGAAACACAAACACACAAACAAACAGACACACACACACAGTCGCACCAAAAACAAAAAGAAGGTTTCATTCCTTTCAAAAAAATTAACATTTCTAATTTCTACATTTTTTAAAATAAATTTTCTTTACTTTACAGGGCGTGCACAATGAAGTGGGAAAGCATGCTGATGTTTATAGTAGGCTACTGCTTTGGAATCGTGACGATGGGTACATTCACGGTTTTCACCAAATATCTAGGAAACTGTGTCACAACCTCGACGGTACAATCCAAAAGAAACGACATTGTGACTTCTAAAATCCCCTTTACTTTGAGGGATCAACTTCCAAAGTAAGAATATTTCTATCGTTGTTCAGCGTGTCCATTCTATAACATCAGCGAAACTCAGCCATCGTATATCTATTTATCTACTTTATCTATCTATCTACTCTATCTACTCTATCAATCCATCTATCTATCTATCAATCTATCTATCTATTAATAAAAATCTAGATATATATCCATATATCTATACTTGAATTTATCTATCTATCCATATCAATCTCTCTTTATGTGTCTCTCCGTGTCTCTCTCTGTCTCTCTCAGATAGATGGATGGTGGACAGATGGATAGAAACATAAAAATCAACTGCATTCCGGACTATTCAAGATTGTGAAGTATGCAATTGAGAGCGTGAAAACACAGTAAGATATTGATTATGTAAATTAAGACATTGATGTATAATTAATGAGAAAATGTTATATTTCCATAATTATCACTGCCTAGAATTTCATAACTGGCGTATCTAAAAGTCAATTGAAGGTAAACATCATAAAAAAAAACTTATTCAAATAAGGGTCTCATTTGCATAGTTTATAAGGATATGCTAGAATGGCAATGCCGCATTATGCTAAAATAAGACTGTTTTTTGGGGAAGAATTCATGTAATTGAGGATCCTATTCGCATAATCAGGGGAGCTTACTGGAATTACTCAAGCCGGATAATGTCATAAAGATTAACATCATTTGGCGAAGCTATGGGATCGCGGTACTCTAGTTTTGCAAATTCCACTACGTTGATTTACCTTAACGGGTGTATTGCATGCAAGTATAGAAAAAAAGAGGAACTGTTATTTTTGTGTTTCTATTTTCAGTACCAAGATGAAGAGATGCAACTGTTCCGAAGAGATGGAGGGTAACATTAACCTTAAGCAATGGGAGGCAGATGAGCTGAATGAAGTTGAAAGTCGACGCCGAGTAGAACTTCAAAAATTTAAACGCAGGTCAACACCTTTCTTTTTTTTATTTTCTGGAGTAGTGGACATT